CCATGCAGGCTACCATCATGTTGCTATGCAGGCTACCATCATGCTGCCATGCAGGCTACCATCATGCTGCCATGCAGGCTACCATCATGCTGCCATGCAGGCTACCATCATACTGTCATGCAGGCTATCATCATACTGCCATGCAGGCTACCATCATGCTGCCATGCAGGCTACAATCATGCTGCCATGCAGGCTACCATCATGCTGCCATGCAGGCTACCATCATGCTGCCATGCAGGCTACCATCATGCTGCCATGCAGGCTACCATCATGCTAACATGCAGGGTACCATCATGCTGCCATGCAGGCTACCATCATGCTGCCATGCAGGCAACCATCATGCTGCCATGCATACTACCATCATGCTACTATGCAGGTTACTATCATGCTGCCATGCAGACTACCATCATGCTGCCATGCAGGCTACCATCATGCTGCCACGCAGGCTACCATCATGGTACCATGCAGGCTACCATCATGCTGCCATGCAGGCTACCATCATGCTGCCATGTAGGCTACCATCATGCTACCATGCAGGCTACCATCATGCTACCATGCAAACCTCCATCATGCTGCCATGCAGGCTACCATCATGCTGCCATTCAGGCTACCATCATGCTGCCATGCAGGCTACCATCATGCTGCCATGCAGGCTACCATCATGTTACCATGCAGGCTACCATCATGCTGCTATGCAGGCTACCATCATGCTGCCATGTAGGCTACCATCATGCCAATATGCAGGCTACCATCATGCTACCATGCAGACTACCATCATGCTACCATGCAGGCTACCATTATGCTACCATGCATGCTACCATCATGCTACCATGCAGGCTACCATCATGCTGCCATGCAGATTACCATCATTCTGCCATGCAGACTACCATCATGCTACCATGCAGACTACCATCATGCTGCCGTGCAGGCTACCATCATGCTGCCATGCAGGCTACCATCATGCTGCCATGCAGACTACCATCATGCTGCCATGCAGGCTACCATCATGCTGCCATGCAGGCTACCATCATGCTGCCATGCAGACTACCATCATGCTGCCGTGCATGCTACCATCATACTGCCATGCAGGCTACCATCATGCTGCCATGCAGGTTACTATCATACTGCCATGCACGCCACCAACATGCTACCATGCACGCCACCAAAATGCTACCATGCACGCCACCAACATGATATCATGCACGCCACCAACATGCTACCATGCAAGTCACCAACATGCTACCATGCACGCCATCAACATGCTACCATGCACGCCACCAGCATGATACCATGCACGCCACCAACATGCTACCATGCATGCCACCTACATGCTACCATGCACGCCACCAACATGCTACCATGCACTCCACCAACATGCTACCATGCACGCCACCAACATGCTACCATGCACGCCACCAACATGCTGCCATGCACGCCACCAACATGCCATCATGCACGCCACCAACATGCTACCATGCACGCCACCAACATGCTACCATGCACTCCACCAACATGCTACCATGCACGCCACCAACATGCTACCATGCACGCCACCATCATGCTACCATTCACGTCACCAACATGCTACCATGCACGTCACCAACATGCTATAATGCACGCCACCAACATGCTACCTTGCACGTCACCAGCATGCTACCATGCACGCCACCAACATGCTACCATGCACGCCACCATCATGCTACCATGCACGCCACCAACATGCTACCATGCACGCCACCATCATGCTACCATGCACGCCACCAACATGCTACCATGCACGCCACCAACATGCTGCCATGCACGCCACCATCATGCTACCATGCACACCAAAAACATGCTACCATGCACGTCACCAACATGCTACCATGCACGCCATCAACATGCTACCATGCACGCCACCAACATGCTACCATGCACGCCACCAACATGCTACCAAGCACGCCACCAACATGTTACCATGCACTCCACTACCATGCTACCATGCACGCCACCAACATGCTACCATGCACGCCACCAACATGCTACCATGGACGCCACCAACATGCTACCATGCACGCCACCAACATGCTACCATGCACTCCACCAACATGCTACCATGCACGCCACCAACATGCTACCATGCACACCACCATCATGCTACCATTCACATCACCAACATGCTACCATGCACGTCACCAACATGCTACCATGCACGCCACCAACATGCTACCTTGCACGTCACCAGCATGCTACCATGCACGCCACCAACATGCTACCATGCACGCGACCATCATGCTACCATGCACGCCACCAACATGCTACCATGCACGCCACCAACATGCTGCCATGCACGCCACCATCATGCTACCATGCACACCACCAACATGCTACTATGCACGCCACCAACATGCTACCACGCACGTCACCAACATGCTACCATGTACGCCACCAACATGCTACCATGCACGCCACCATCATGCTACCATGCACGCCACCAACATGCTACCATGCACGTCACAAACATGCTACCATGCACGCTACCAACATGCTACCATGCACGCCACCAACATGCTACCATGCACGCCACCAACATGCTACCATGCACGCCACCAACATGCTACCATGCACGTCACCAACATGCTACCATGCACGCCACTATCATGCTACCATGCCCGTAACCATCATGATACCATGTATGCCACCATCATGCTACCATGCACGCCACCATCATGCTACCATGCACGTCACCAACATGCTACCATGCACGGCACCATCATGCTACCATGCACGCCACTATCATGCTACCATGCACGTCACCAACATGCTACCATGCACGCCACCAACATGCTACCATGCACGCCTCCAACATTCTACCATGCACGCCACCAACATGCTACCATGCACGTCACCAACATGCTACCATGCACGCCACCAACATGCTACCATGCACGCCACCAACATGCTACCATGCACGTCACCAACATGCTACCATGCACGCCACCAACATGCTACCATGCACGCCACCAACATGCTACCATGCACGCCACCAGCATGTTACCATGCACGCCACCATCATGCTACCATGCACGCCCCAACATGCTACCATGCACGCCACCAACATGCTACCAAGCACGCCACCAACATGTTACCATGCACTCCACTACCATGCTACCATGCACGCCACCAACATGCTACCATGCACGCCACCAACATGCTACCATGCATGCCACCAACATGCTACCATGCACGTCACCAACATGCTACCATGCACTCCACCAACATGCTACCATGAACGCCACCAACATGCTACCATGCACGCCACCAACATGCTACCATGCACGTCACCAACATGCTACCATGCACGCCACCATCATGCTACCATGCATGCCACTATCATGCTACCATGCACGTCACCAACATGCTACCATGAACGCCACCAACATGCTACCATGCACGCCTCCAACATTCTACCATGCACGCCACCAACATGCTACCATGCACGTCACCAACATGCTACCATGCACGCCACCAACATTGTACCATGCACGCCACCATCATGCTACCATGCACGCCACTATCATGCTACCATGCACGTCACCAACATGCTACCATGAACGCCACCAACATGCTACCATGCACGCCTCCAACATTCTACCATGCACGCCACCAACATGCTACCATGCACGTCACCAACATGCTACCATGCACGCCACCAACATGCTACCATGCACGTCACCAACATGCTACCATGCACGCCACCAACATGCTACCATGCACGCCACCAACATGCTACCATGCACGCCACTAGCATGCTACCATGCACGCCACCATCATGCTGCCATGCACGCCCCGAACATGGTACCATGCACGACACCAACATGCTACCATGCACGCCACCAACATGTTACCATGCACTCCACTACCATGCTACCATGCACGCCACCAACATGCTACCATGCACGCCACCAACATGCTACCATGCATGCCACCAACATGCTACCATGCACTTCACCAACATGCTACCATGCACTCCACCAACATGCTACCATGCACGCCACCATCATGCTACCATGCACGCCACCAACATGCTACCATGCACTCCACCAACATGCTACCATGCACGCCACCAACATGCTACCATGCACGCCACCAACATGCTACCATGCATGCCACCAACATGCTACCATGCACGTCACCAACATGGTACCATGCACTCCACCAACATGCTACCATGCACGCCACCAACATGCTACCATGCACGCCACCAACATGCTACCATGCACGCCACCAACATGCTACCATGCACGCCACCAACATGCTACCATGCATGCCACCAACATGCTACCATGCACGTCACCAACATGATACCATGCACTCCACCAACATGCTACCATGCACGCCACCAACATGCTACCATGCACGCCACCATCATGCCTGCTTCCTACTATGAAACTCGAGCCTGTAATTTTCAATTACACTACAGTTCTGCAATCAATGACCACCACAGCAGTGACCTCAGCAATGACCCTCATAGTGCAGTGACCTCAGCGGTGACCCCCACTGCACAGTGACCCCGACACCACAGCGACCCAGCAATAGCCAGACCATGGTATCCTTAGGGGGTGTGCTGGTCACACTTTAAGATGTGCAGGTCACATCTCTAGATGTGCAGGTGGCACCTGTAGATGTGAAGGTGATGTTTACCTCATCTACCGCTGGGGTCTAAATTCTGCTGTATGGTGGTTGTGATGTTGCTTGCCTCATATCCTACCAGTGTCTACACTACCATGTGGTGGATGTAACACTGTGTACTTGGGAGAAACTGGTAGATGCCTGTTAGAAAAGAGGCACAAATGAGCTCTTGACGACGTTTCGACCTCACAGTGGGCTCTATCATGTCATGTTGTATATCACCTAGTGACCTTTTTCCATCCTATAACCTCACCTGGTGACATTTCTCCATCCCATGAACTCACCTAGTGACCTCCATCCTATGACCTCACCTAGTGAGCTTTCTCCATCTTATGACCTCACCTAGTGAGTTTTCCCTTGTCGTGAACTCAGTTACTGACCTATGTGTGCCCCTGGTGTTGACAGTTGTGGGCGTGAGTGGACTGGTAGGGGCGTGGGCTGAGCTACCCTGCCGCTTTGCACCACGCACACCAGGAGACAAGCCTAAACTCATCCTCTGGTACAAGCAGGGAGTCAGCAGACCTCTCTTCAGGTGAGATACTAGAGAGAGAGAGAGAGCACAGGATTATGAAGTCTGTACCAAGGCTATGAGAACTATCTGCTGTCTAGGTTAAGTAATCTCCTGTATTATCTAGAGTGAGTGAAAGAGAGAGATACCAGATTTTCTTCTAGTATTGAGAAGTATTATTTCAACTTCCTGTAGTATCCATCAGTAACATACCAACTTTAGATATAGCACTGATCATACTTGAACTGGTTGGTGTGCACAGCTGGATACTAGCAGTGTTATAATGCCCTCCGTCAGGTCCAGTGTCTGCAACACTGGACCTGACCTGGCGCAACACTGCACTCAACGGAGGAGTGTTGCAAGCAGTAAGGGTGACCCCAAGGTAGTGCTTATGTTAGTGCTTGATTCTTATAGATGCCTTCTTCCTGAACTCTGACCTGTGTTTTTTTTTTCTGTTCCTTCGGCTGCGGCAGTCATGACTCGCGGGAGCCGCAGGTGGAGCCTGACCTGCGGCAGGTGGGTGTTGAGCTGCGGCTGGGAGATGGCTGGGCCAGCCTCGCCTATCAGAACCTCAGCGCCAAGCATGCTGGAGTGTACGAGTGTAGGGTTGACTTCTACACCTCTCCTGCCTACACCAGCCTGGTCAACCTCACTGTGGTTGGTGAGTCCTCTCACTCACTCACTCACTCTCACTCATAGCTTTATTGTGCAACTTGTATTCATATTGTAGGAGGTAGTAACCCAATGTCCATCCCATAGGAGGTAATCATCTCATGTCCATCCCATGGAATGTAGTCATCCCATGTCCATCCCATAGGGAACGTAGTCACCCCATACCCATCCCATGGGGAGGGAGTAGTCACCCCATGTCCATCCCATGGGGAGGGAGTAGTCACCCCATGTCCATCCCATGGGGAGGGAGTAGTCACCCCATGTCCATCCCATGGGGAGGGAGTAGTCATCCCATGTCCATCCCATGGGGAGGGAGTAGTCACCCCATGTCCATCCCATGGGGAGGGAGTAGTCACCCCATGTCCATCCCATGGGGAGGGAGTAGTCATCCCATGTCCATCCCATGGGGAGGGAGTAGTCACCCCATGTCCATCCCATGGGGAGGGAGTAGTCACCCCATGTCCATCCCATGGGGAGGGAGTAGTCACCCCATTCCAAAGCTGTGGCTGGAGGGCAGGTAATCAAAAGCTTACTGAGGTACATAATGGATCCAGAGACGTTAGACGCACCTCACTATTCTACTGGCTAAGTCGCTTCGTTTTGAATAATGTTTAAAAGACACCGGTTTGTAGAATGTTTCATTCAGTGTAGAACTTACAACGGCTTGATAAAGAACTACATAGTGCGAAACGTTGACTCAATAAGAGCTGGTTCTGCCATCGTTTCTTGTCGGTAATGCGCCATTTTACCCTAAATACTGGTGCCTTTTGTCTTTAAGCTGCGTTTAATGGAACATAATTTACTATTATGAGAGATATACAGCCAGGGGATGTGTGGTGATGTGTGGGTGTGCTTGACAGAGCCCGTGAGGAAGGTGGAGATCCTGGCTGCTGGCAAGCACAGTTCTGGACATCAGGAACCTGTCTACCCAGGGTACACCAGGGTGTTGGGCCCTTACTACCCAGGGCACACCATCAACATCTCCTGCCTCGCTCACCAAGGTGATCCATCCGGTTTGTTCCTCTTTACGTATGGCTGAACCTTCCTGTGTTTAAGTATGGCTAAGTCTTCCTGTGTTTGCACATAGCTATGGCTACCAGGACGTGCTATGTTTCTCTGACATCTATAAATCTCCCTCATTTTCTGAAAGAGACAGGGAGACATATACACGTCTCTCTGTCTCCCTACTTCACTCTCTGATGTTTATATATATATATATATTATATGTGTATGTGTAACTATATCCTTCTAATGTATGTTTATCTCTGTAATACAGAATACATGTCTCCATGATGTATAGGTGTGTGTATTCCTAACATCTCTGTGTCTCCAGGTTGGCCTCCACCGGTGTTGACGTGGTGGCTAGGAGACAAGATGCTCAAGAGCTCGCGCCAGGAGTCGTTGTCGACGGCGGACGACCTGGGGGTGGTGCAGAATGACCTGGTGATCGAGAACGCCTCGCGCAGCTGGAACGAGAGAACACTCACCTGCACCGCTAACAACACTCACCTGGCCTCACCCGCTGCTGCTTCTGTTGTTATTACCATGTTCTGTGAGTAACAAAGAGAGAGAGAGAGAGAGAGAAAGAGAGAGAGAGAGAAAGCAAGGTCTGCCACGAATACAAAACACAAGACGATAATTAAACCTCGTTTTTACTTATATGAAAATTAGTTTCGAATTATATAATGGCTTCTGAGCTTATTATGACAACCATAAAAGTGTTCTGGTAGATCTCTCTCTCTCTCTCTCTCTCTCTCTCTCTCTCTCTCTCTCTCTCTCTCTCTCTCTCTCTCTCTCTCTCTCTCTCTCTCTCTCTCTCTCTCTCTTTCTTTCTTTCTCCAACCAAGAAATTGCATCAATACTGGGCACAGCCTTCAGCCCTATATTTACTGCTGAAGACAACACGAACATTCCCAGGCTACAACATTTCAGGTAGACCCTGAAGCTGACTCACAAAATATTAAGCATATTATCAACCTTGACAAGTTAAAATGTTCACACAAGGTGAGGTTAAGAAAACTAGCCAGGTGGACGAACCAGCAGTCAGAATCAAGAGCTTCTAGAGTAGAATTTCCTAGAGTAATACAAAACAACTAGAAGATACTAAAGCGCTAAAAGATTCAAAACTAGCAAATGTTACACCAGTATTCCAAGACGGGAGACAGGACCCACACCTCCAACTACCGTCCCATGAGATTGTTGTCGACTGTGGGTCAAGAGATGGAATACATAGCTAGAAGGTCGCTCGCAACCTTTCTAGGAGTTATTGCCTGGAGTCTACCTGGAGGGTATTCCTGGGGTCAACGTCCTCGCGGCCCAGTCCTTGCGGTGAACCAGGGCCTGATCAGCCAGGCTGTTACTGCTGGCCGCACGCAAAATTAAAATGAATTGCGACACGTAAGAGCACGCCTAAATATAATGTAGAATTCTTCAATTAGACGTATGTAAATCTGAGATTGAAAATGTCTTGATAATAGAACTGTGGAAGATCTTGGTTTATACTAGCACACTGTTGTATGGTGAGGCTAGCACACTGTTGTATGGTGATACTAGCACACTGTTGTATGGTGATACTAGCACACTGTTGTATGGTGATGCTAGCACACTGTTGTATGGTGATACTAGCACACTGTTGTATGGTGATGCTAGCACACTGTTGTATGGTGATACTAGCACACTGTTGTATGGTGATACTAGCACACTGTTGTATGGTGATACTAGCACACTGTTGTATGGTGATACTAGCACACTGTTGTATGGTGATACTAGCACACTGTTGTATGGTGATACTAGCACACTGTTGTATGGTGATACTAGCACACTGTTGTATGGTGATACTAGCACACTGTTGTATGGTGATACTAGCACACTGTTGTATGGTGATACTAGCACACTGTTGTATGGTGATACTAGCACACTGTTGTATGGTGATACTAGCACACTGTTGTATGGTGATACTAGCACACTGTTGTATGGTGATACTAGCACACTGTTGTATGGTGAGGCTAGCACACTGTTGTATGGTGATACTAGCACACTGTTGTATGGTGATACTAGCACACTGTTGTATGGTGATACTAGCACACTGTTGTATGGTGATACTAGCACAGTGTTGTATGGTGATACTAGCACTGTTGTATGGTGATACTAGCACACTGTTGTATGGTGATACTAGCACACTGTTGTATGGTGATACTAGCACACTGTTGTATGGTGAGGCTAGCACACTGTTGTATGGTGATACTAGCACACTGTTGTATGGTGATACTAGCACAATGTTGTATGGTGATACTAGCACTGTTGTATGGTGATACTAGCACAACTGTTGTATGGTGATACTAGCACACTGTTGTATGGTGATACTAGCACACTGTTGTATGGTGATACTAGCACACTGTTGTATGGTGATACTAGCACACTGTTGTATGGTGATACTAGCACACTGTTGTATGGTGATACTAGCACACTGTTGTATGGTGATACTAGCACACTGTTGTATGGTGATACTAGCACAATGTTGTATGGTGATACTAGCACTGTTGTATGGTGATACTAGCACACTGTTGTATGGTGATACTAGCACACTGTTGTATGGTGATACTAGCACTGTTGTATGGTGATACTAGCACACTGTTGTATGGTGATACTAGCACACTGTTGTATGGTGATACTAGCACACTGTTGTATGGTGATACTAGCACACTGTTGTATGGTGATACTAGCACACTGTTGTATGGTGATACTAGCACACTGTTGTATGGTGATACTAGCACACTGTTGTATGGTGATACTAGCACACTGTTGTATGGTGATACTAGCACACTGTTGTATGGTGATACTAGCACACTGTTTTATGGTGATAACTAGCACACTGTTGTATGGTGATACTAGCACTGTTGTATGGTGATACTAGCACACTGTTGTATGGTGATACTAGCACACTGTTGTATGGTGATACTAGCACACTGTTGTATGGTGATACTAGCACACTGTTGTATGGTGATACTAGCACACTGTTGTATGGTGATACTAGCACACTGTTGTATGGTGATACTAGCACACTGTTGTATGGTGATACTAGCACACTGTTGTATGGTGATACTAGCACACTGTTGTATGGTGATACTAGCACACTGTTGTATGGTGATACTAGCACTGTTGTATGGTGATACTAGCACACTGTTGTATGGTGATACTAGCACACTGTTGTATGGTGATACTAGCACACTGTTGTATGGTGATACTAGCACACTGTTGTATGGTGATACTAGCACACTGTTGTATGGTGATACTAGCACACTGTTGTATGGTGATACTAGCACACTGTTGTATGGTGATACTAGCACACTGTTGTATGGTGATACTAGCACACTGTTGTATGGTGATACTAGCACACTGTTGTATGGTGATACTAGCACTGTTGTATGGTGATACTAGCACACTGTTGTATGGTGATACTAGCACACTGTTGTATGGTGATACTAGCACACTGTTGTATGGTGATACTAGCACACTGTTGTATGGTGATACTAGCACACTGTTGTATGGTGATACTAGCACACTGTTGTATGGTGATACTAGCACACTGTTGTATGGTGATACTAGCACACTGTTGTATGGTGATACTAGCACACTGTTGTATGGTGATGCTAGCACACTGTTAAATGGTGATACTAGCACACTGTTGTATGGTGATACTAGCACACTGTTGTATGGTGATACTAGCACACTGTTGTATGGTGATACTAGCACACTGTTGTATGGTGATACTAACACTGTTGTATGGTGATACTAGCACACTGTTGTATGGTGATACTAGCACACTGTTGTATGGTGATACTAGCACACTGTTAAATGGTCATACTAGCACACTGTTGTATGGTGATACTAGCACACTGTTGTATGGTGATACTAGCACACTGTTGTATGGTGATACTAGCACACTGTTGTATGGTGATACTAGCACACTGTTGTATGGTGATACTAGCACAATGTTGTATGGTGATACTAGCACACTGTTGTATGGTGATACTAGCACACTGTTGTATGGTGATACTAGCACTATTGTATGGTGATACTAGCACACTGTTGTATGGTGATACTAGCACACTGTTGTATGGTGATACTAGCACTATTGTATGGTGATACTAGCACACTGTTGTATGGTGATACTAGCACACTGTTGTATGGTGATACTAGCACTAGTGTATGGTGATGTTAGCACACTGTTGTATGGTGATACTAGCACACTGTTGTATGGTGATACTAGCACACTGTTGTATGGTGATACTAGCACACTGTTGTATGGTGATACTAGCATATTGCTGTCTGGTGATACTAGCACACTGTTGTATGGTGATACTAACACACTGTTGTATGGTGATACTAGCACACTGTTGTATGGTGATACTAGCACACTGTTGTATGGTGATACTAACACACTGTTGTATGGTGATGCTAGCACTATTGTATGGTGATACTAGCACACTGTTGTATGGTGATACTAGCACACTGTTGTATGGTGATACTAGCACACTGTTGTATGGTGATACTAGCACACTGTTGTATGGTGATACTAGCACACTGTTGTATGGTGTTACTAGCACACTGTTGTATGCTGATACTAGCACTATTTTATGGTGATACAAGCACACTGTTGTATGGTGATACTAGCACACTGTTGTATGGTGATACTAGCACACTGTTGTATGGTGATACTAGCACACTGTTGTATAGTGATACTAGCACACTGTTGTATGGTGATACTAGCACACTGTTGTGTGGTGATACTAGCACACTGTTGTATGGTGATATTAGCACTATTGTATGGTGATACTAGCACACTGTTGTATGGTGATACTAGCACACTTGTATGGTGATACTAGCACACTGTTGTATGGTGATACTAGCACGCTGTTGTATGGTGATACTAGCACACTGTTGTATGGTGATACAAACACTGTTGTGTGGTGATACTAGCACACTGTTGTTTGGTGATACTAGCACACTGTTGTATGGTAATACTAGCACACTGTTGTATGGTGATACTAGCACACTTGTATGGTGATACTAGCACACTGTTGTATGGTGATACTAGCACATTGTTGTATGGTGATACTAGCACAGTGTTATATGGTGATACTAGCACTCTTGTATGGTGATGCTAGCACACTTGTATGGTGATACTAGCACACTGTTGTATGGTGACACTAGCACATTGTTGTATGGTGATACTAGCACACTGTTGTATGGTGATACTAGCACTCTTGTATGGTGATACTAGCACACTGTTGTATGGTAATACTAGCACACTGTTGTATGGTGATACTAGCACACTGTTGTATGGTGATACTAGCACACTTGTATGGTGATACTAGCACACTGTTGTATGGTGATACTAGCACGCTGTTGTATGGTGATACTAGCACACTGTTGTATGGTGATACAAACACTGTTGTGTGGTGATACTAGCACACTGTTGTTTGGTGATACTAGCACACTGTTGTATGGTAATACTAGCACACTGTTGTATGGTGATACTAGCACACTTGTATGGTGATACTAGCACACTGTTGTATGGTGATACTAGCACATTGTTGTATGGTGATACTAGCACACTGTTATATGGTGATACTAGCACTCTTGTATGGTGATGCTAGCACACTTGTATGGTGATACTAGCACACTGTTGTATGGTGACACTAGCACATTGTTGTATGGTGATACTAGCACACTGTTGTATGGTGTTACTAGCACACTGTTGTATGCTGATACTAGCACTATTTTATGGTGATACAAGCACACTGTTGTATGGTGATACTAGCACACTGTTGTATGGTGATACTAGCACACTGTTGTATGGTGATACTAGCACACTGTTGTATAGTGATACTAGCACACTGTTGTATGGTGATACTAGCACACTGTTGTGTGGTGATACTAGCACACTGTTGTATGGTGATATTAGCACTATTGTATGGTGATACTAGCACACTGTTGTATGGTGATACTAGCACACTTGTATGGTGATACTAGCACACTGTTGTATGGTGATACTAGCACGCTGTTGTATGGTGATACTAGCACACTGTTGTATGGTGATACAAACACTGTTGTGTGGTGATACTAGCACACTGTTGTTTGGTGATACTAGCACACTGTTGTATGGTAATACTAGCACACTGTTGTATGGTGATACTAGCACACTGTGTATGGTGATACTAGCACACTGTTGTATGGTGATACTAGCACATTGTTGTATGGTGATACTAGCACACTGTTATATGGTGATACTAGCACTCTTGTATGGTGATGCTAGCACACTTGTATGGTGATACTAGCACACTGTTGTATGGTGACACTAGCACATTGTTGTATGGTGATACTAGCACACTGTTGTATGGTGATACTAGCACTCTTGTATGGTGATACTAGCACACTGTTGTATGGTAATACTAGCACACTGTTGTATGGTGATACTAGCACACTGTTGTATGGTGATACTAGCACACTTGTATGGTGATACTAGCACACTGTTGTATGGTGATACTAGCACGCTGTTGTATGGTGATACTAGCACACTGTGTTGTATGGTGATACAAACACTGTTGTGTGGTGATACTAGCACACTGTTGTTTGGTGATACTAGCACACTGTTGTATGGTAATACTAGCACACTGTTGTATGGTGATACTAGCACACTTGTATGGTGATACTAGCACACTGTTGTATGGTGATACTAGCACATTGTTGTATGGTGATACTAGCACACTGTTATATGGTGATACTAGCACTCTTGTATGGTGATGCTAGCACACTTGTATGGTGATACTAGCACACTGTTGTATGGTGACACTAGCACATTGTTGTATGGTGATACTAGCACACTGTTGTTTGGTGATACTAGCACACTGTTGTATGGTAATACTAGCACACTGTTGTATGGTGATACTAGCACACTTGTATGGTGATACTAGCACACTGTTGTATGGTGATACTAGCACATTGTTGTATGGTGATACTAGCACACTGTTATATGGTGATACTAGCACTCTTGTATGGTGATGCTAGCACACTTGTATGGTGATACTAGCACACTGTTGTATGGTGACACTAGCACATTGTTGTATGGTGATACTAGCACACTGTTGTATGGTGATACTAGCACTCTTGTATGGTGATACTAGCACACTGTTGTATGGTAATACTAGCACACTGTTGTATGGTGATACTAGCACACTGTTGTATGGTGATACTAGCACACTTGTATGGTGATACTAGCACACTGTTGTATGGTGATGCTAGCACACTGTTGAATGGTGATACTAGCACACTTATGTGGTGATACTAGCACACTGGTGTATAGTGATACTAGCACACTTGTGTGGCGATACTAACTGTTGTATGGTGATACTAGTACACCGTTGTATGGTGATACTAGCATACCATCTAGCATGATGGTGTTGATGTTACAGTACCACCCTCTAGCATGGTGGTGTTGATGTTACAGTACCACCATCTAGCATGATGGTGTTGATGTTACAGTACCACCATCTAGCATGGTGGTGTTGATGTTACAGTACCACCATCTAGCATGGTGGTGTTGATGTTACAGTACCACCATCTAGCATGGTGGTGTTGATGTTACAGTACCACCATCTAGCATGGTGGTGTTGATGTTACAGTACCACCATCTAGCACGGTGGTGTTGATGTTTCAGTGCTGCCATCTAGCGTAGTGTTGATGTTTCAGTGCTGCCATCTAGTGCAGTGTTGATGTTTCAGTGCTGCCATGTAGCGTGATGTTGATGTTTCAGTGCTGCCATCTAGCGTGATGTTGATGTTTCAGTGCTGCCATCTAGCGTGATGTTGATGTTTCAGTGCTGCCATCTAGCGTGATGTTGATGTTTCAGTGCTGCCATCTAGCGTGATGTTGATGTTTCAGTGCTGCCATCTAGTGTTGTGGTGGACAACCCTGGTCCTGTGGTGGAGGGACGCCAGGCTCATCTACGCTGCCTTGCTACAGGAGCTCAGCCACAACCCAAACTCACCTGGTCTATCAACGGTACCGCTGCCACGCCACACAAGGTAAGCAACTCTTATCGTAATTATATTTGTTGATTGTTATCATTATCATTTTTAATAATACTAATAAACTTTCTACAAGTACATGTACATGATATACAGGCTTAGCTGACATCAGTGACATACTACTGCAAAGAAAGCCCCTTGTTATGCAGAACATTTCAGACAAATTAGGTCAATTTTGTCCTAGGATGTGACCCACATCAGTCGACTAACACCCAGGTACCTATTTTACTTATTTTCTTCTTCTGTCTTCTGGTGTATCCTGGACGACTAGATTACTGTTGTAGCTCAGTGTCTCAGTGATAACATTGACGTAGTGTAACTGACAGAGTCAGTGGCGGTGGTGACGTGTGTGTGATGCTGGTGTTAATGGTGCTGGTGATTTTGGTGGTGGTGGTAGAGAGGAGGTGTGTGTGTGTGTGTGGTGTAGCCAAACTCTCTCCCACATCTCACGCTCTCTAAATAAATAATGTCACAGTGGAGGGAGGGGCCAGATGTATCGTGTGGTCTCGCTCTTTGATGAATGTTTAGTAGGTATTGAGTACACACACACACACACTCACACACACACACACACACACACACACACACACCAGTGTGAGTATCATACCGAGCACATCTCCTGAGGCGAACATCAACCAGATAACTGCTGCAGCACATGGGCACCTAACACACCTAAGAATAGCATTTCGACACACCTGAGTAAGGAGTCATTCAAGACTGTGTATACTGTTTACGTCAGGCCCATACTGAAGTATGCAGCACCTGGTCAAGCACGTCAAGAAATAAGAGAAAGTGTAAAGGTTTGCAACAAGACTAGTCCCTAGCTAATGGGTATATCCTACGAGGATAGGTTAAGGTATATCAACCTGACGACACTGGAGGACAGGAGGAACATGCTAAAGACAAAAAATGCTGAATGGATAGGGACAGAATGTTTGAGAGATACGACACAGCAACAAGGGGTCACAACTGGAAGTTACAGGGATGTTAGGAAGTATTTCTTCAGTCGTAGAGTTGTCAGGAAGTGGAACAGTCTGAAGAGTGATGCAGTGGAGGTAGAATCTATACATAGCTTGAAGAGATACGATAAAGCTCATGGACCAGGAGTGGATCTAGTAGCGACCGGCGAAGAGTCGGGATCAGGAGGTGTGGCTCTACCCCTGCAACCACAAATAGGTGAGTACACATACACACTTAAGTTCCAAGGTTTCCTACATTGGTTCTTGGTGTTCACGTCCTGGTTCTTCAGTTCTCTCTGTCGGAATAAATTGATCGGTACAATTAGTGTATATTTTCCAGAACTCTTCATATATCATGTTTGTTTTTGTAATGTTTCATTCTCGTTGTTTCTTTGGTTCTGAATACTGTATGTGTGTGTGTGTGTGTGTGTGTGTGTGTGTACTCACCTGTTTGTGGTTGCAGGGGTAGAGTAACAGCTCATGGCCCCGACTCTTCGCTGATCGCTACTAGGTCCACTCCCTGCTCCATTAGCTTTATCGTATCTCTTCAAGCTATATGACGACCTAGAACTTTAAAAAAACAGTGTGACTGGCACTATAGAATGATACCCTTGATTATTGACCTCATACAATGATGCCTTGATTATTGACTTCACAGAATGGTACCTTGATTATTGACCTCATAGTCATGCACTGACTTGTGACCTTGTTTCTCTCCCCTGCAGAGTGTGACTGAGGGTCGTGTGACTTGGTCAACCCTGGTGGTGAACGTGACCCGGGGTCACCACCAGGTTAAGGTGACCTGCACAGCCACCAGCTCCGTCTTGCCAGGTCTCAGCGTCTCCAACTACACCCTCCTCACCGTCTACTGTGAGTACATGCTTCATTTTTGTTTTAGTTAGTGCTTCCATTTCTAGTTGGGAAGTTCTCGTTGTTTTGGTAACTCATTTTCTACGTTTGGGACACTCGTTTTCTGTGTTGGTAAGCCGTTTTCTATAATTGGGACACTCGTTTTCTATATCGATGACTCATTTTCTATATCGATGACTCATTTTCTATTTAGGGCTCGTTTTCTATGTTTAGAATACTCGTTTTCTGTGTAACTCGTTTTCTATTTTTGGGAGACGTTGTCTGTTTAGGACTCGTTTTCTGTGTTTGGAATACTCGTTTTCTGTTTGGGTCAATCGTTTTCTATGATTTGGATACTCGTTTTCTGTTTGGAAGACTCGTTTTCTATGTTTGGAGCACTCATTTTTTGTTTATGACGCTTATATATATATATATATATATATATATATATATATATATATATATATATATATATATATATATATATATATATATATTATCACACTGGCCGATTCCCACCATATATATATATATATATATATATAATATATATATATATATATATATATATAATATATATATATATATATATATATATATATATATATATATATATATATATATATATATATATATATATATATATATATATATATATATATATATATAATCCCTCTCTTTCCAATAATTTTCCTGCGTTGAAAGGTAAAGTTCCTAATTTTAATAAGCGCTTCCCTTAGTGGCTGCACAAGTGTCAAATTACATTAGGCTGGTCCAGTGGTATCCGCCTCTATTACCTGGGTAAAATACCGAACCAACATTGGAAACTGTTGGTGTCATTAGCATATCCTGAGTGTCCTGTCTAATTTGGATTGAAACATCAACAAAGACTTTTTTGTGTGTGTATTTGTTTCAGGAGGAAGGAGGCCCCGACAAAGCCTAAAACTTTTTTTTTTCATGTCAAAATGTGGAGACCAAACAAAATTTGGTTAGCCTAACGAGGTAAATACTATAAATATATAAATTTAGTATATATTTTACATAATCGTACTGTGTATTTCGTATTATTATTATTATTATTATTATTATTATTATTATTATTATTATTATTATTATTATTATTATTATTATTATTATTATTATATTGTTTTTATTAATATTATTATAATTATTAATATTATTGATAAAGAAGCGCTAAGCTTGTATGGGTTTTAGAGTTTAGTTGTTGATATGCTTCTTCCATGGTCATACACATTCTAGTGACGGCTGACTCTTGCATATAAATATATACATTACTGTGTATACTTTCACACTATGAGATGCTGTATTAATTCTTAACAACCTAAATTACAAATGCCTTTCAGAAATTTTTTTTCTAAGTCGGGTTTATTTTATAGCATAGTCTTATTGTAAAGAAAATGACTATCTTGACAAATTTGATGAAGTTTTGAAAGATATTTCTAAAATTTAGACTTTAATGTTTGTTATAGATGAAATTGTAACTTAAATATGAGAAGATGAGATGCGTGCTTACAGTGTGCTTACTGTATATAAGAATATTTAATCTATTATTTGTAGTGTGCGTAAAATTAAGAATATATTCACCGTTGCATAATAATTATAATGATAAATAATTGATCAGATCCACCGTCAGTATGGCTGTCACTAGGACGCTCACTACAGCCAGACTCCCTGAAGGAGGGTGACGATGTGTACTTCACCTGTACTGTGTCTGCCAGTCCTCCAGCGTCAACCATCACCTGGTTCCACCAGGTATGTTTTTATTGTTCCACCTGGCAGGTTTTTATTGTTCCACCTGGCAGGTTTTTATTGTTCCACCTGGCAGGTTTTTTATTGTTCCACCTGGCAGGTTTTTATTGTTCCACCTGGCAGGTTTTTTATTGTTCCACCTGGCAGGTTTTTATTGTTCCACCTGGCAGGTTTTTATTGTTCCACCAGGCACGTTTTTTATTGTTCCACCAGGCACGTTTTTATTGTTCCACCAGGCAGGTTTTTTATTGTTCCACCAGGCACGTTTTTATTGTTCCACCAGGCAGGTTTTTATTGTTCCACCAGGCAGGTTTTTTATTGTTCCACCAGGCAGGTTTTTATTGTTCCACCAGGCACGTTTTTATTGTTCCACCAGGCAGGTTTTTATTGTTCCACCAGGCAGGTTTTTTATTGTTCCCACCAGGCAGTGGTTTTTTATTGTTCCACCAGGCAGGTTTTTATTGTTCCACCAGGCAGGTTTTTTATTGTTCCACCAGGCAGGTTTTTTATTGTTCCACCAGGCAGGTTTTTATTGTTCCTCCAGGCAGGTTTTTATTGTTCCACCAGGCAGGTTTTTATTCCACCTGGCATGTTTTTATTGTTCCACCAGGCATGTTTTTTATTGTTCCACCAGGCATGTTTTTATTGTTCCACCAGGCATGTTTTTATTGTTCCACCAGGCATGTTTTTATTGTTCCACCAGGCACGTTTTTTATTGTTCCACCAGGCAGGTTTTTATTGTTCCACCAGGCATGTTTCTATTCCACCTGGCGTGTTTTTATTGTTCCACCAGGCATGTTTTTATTCCACCTGGCATGTTTTTATTGTTCCACCAGGCATGTTTTTATTGTTCCACCAGGCATGTTTTTATTCCACCTGGCATGTTTTTATTGTTCCACCAGGCATGTTTTTATTCCACCTGGCATGTTTTTATTGTTCCACCAGGCATGTTTTTATTGTTCCACCAGGCATGTTTTTATTGTTCCACCAGGCATGTTTTTATTCCACCTGGCATGTTTTTATTGTTCCACCAGGCAGGTTTTTATTCCACCTGGCATGTTTTTATTGTTCCACCAGGCATGTTTTTTATTGTTCCACCAGGCATGTTTTTATTGTTCCACCAGGCATGTTTTTATTGTTCCACCAGGCACGTTTTTTATTGTTCCACCAGGCAGGTTTTTATTGTTCCACCAGGCATGTTTTTATTCCACCTGGCATGTTTTTATTGTTCCACCAGGCATGTTTTTATTCCACCTGGCATGTTTTTATTGTTCCACCAGGCATGTTTTTATTGTTCCACCCCGGCATGTTTTATTATTCCAACAGGCATGTTTTTATTGCTTCACCTGGCATGTATTTATTGTCCCACCAGCATGTTTTTATCCACCTGGCATGTGTTTTTTTGTTCCACCATGGCAGTTGATTATTCACCGCATGTTTTATGTTCCACCAGCATTGCTTTTTTTGATCCACCTGCATGTTTTTATTCCACTCAGACAGTTTTTTGATTCCACCGGCAGTTTTATGTTCCACCAGGCATGTTTTTATACACAGACATGTTTTTATTGTTCCACCAGGCTTTTATTGTTCCACCTGGAATGTTTTTATTGTTCACCAGGCATGTTTTGTATGCATCCACCGGCATGTTTTATATTGTTCCAAACCAGGCATGTTTTTATTGTTTCCCCCAGGCATGTTTACTGTTCAAACCTGGACGTGTTGTTATTGTTCCACCATGCATGTTTTTATTGCTCACACGCAGTTTTCTATTGCCACCATGGCATGTTTTTATATGTTCACCAGGCATGTTTTTATTGTTCCACTGGCATGTTTTTAATTCCACCAGGCATGTTTTTTATTGTTCCACCAGCAGTTTTTATTCCACCAGGCTGTTTTTATTGTTCCCACCAGGCTGATTTTTATTGTTCCAACAGCAGTTTTTATTCCACCTGGCATGTTTTTATTGTTCCACCAGGCATGTTTTTATTCCACCAGGCATATTTTTATTGTTCCACTAGGCATGTTTTTATTCCACCTGGCATGTTTTTATAGTTTCACTCCTTGTGCTGCATGACCCACACACTGACAGTACTGAACCTCCAACACCAGTCCTTGTGCTGCATGACCCACACACTGACAGTACTGAATCCACCCCCAGTCTGTGTGCATGATCCACACATTTACAGTACTGAAACTCCACACCAGTCCTTGGCTGCATGACCCAACACTGACAGTCTGAACCTCAACACCAGTCCTTGTGCTGCATGACCCACACACTGACAGTACTGAACCTCCAACACCAGTCCTTGTGCTGCATGACCCACACACTGACAGTACTGAACCTCCACCACCAGTCCTTGTGCTGATGACCCACACTGACAGTATTGAACTTACCACCAGTCCTTGTGCTGCATGACCACACACTGACAGTACTTGAACCTCCACACCAGTCTTTTGGCTGCATGAAACTCACAACTGGGCAGTACTGAACCTCCACCACAGTCCTTTGCTGCATGACCCACACACTGACAGTACTGAACCTTCACACCAGTCCTTGTCTGCATTTACCACACACTGACAGTCTGAACCTCCACCACCAGTCCTTGTCTGCATTGACCCACACACTGACAGTGCTGAATCCACACCCGTCTTTGCTGCATGACCCACATCACTGACAGTACTGAACTTCACCACCAGTTTGTCTGCTGACCCACACTGACATATGAACCTTCCCACAGTCCTTTGCTGCATCCCACACATGACAGTACTGAACCTCACACATGTCCTTGTCTCATGACCCACACATGGGGCTAGCTGACCTCCACCACCAGCTTGTGCTGCATGCACCACACACTGAGTGCTGAACCTCCACCACAGTCCTTGTGTGCATGACCCACACACTGACAGTCTGAACCTTTTACCACCAGTCTTGTACTGCATGACCCACATGAATCTGAACCTTCACCAACAGTCCTTGTGCATGAACCCACACACTGACAGTATTGACTCACCCCCAGTCCATTTTGCTGCATGACCCACACACTACAGTGCATGAACTCCACACCATCTTGTGCTGCATGACCCACACACTGACATAATGAAACTTCCACCACAGTTTCTTGTGCTGCATCCCACACACTGACATACTGAACCTCCACTACCAGTCCTTGTGCTGCATGACCCACACACTGACAGTACTGAACCTCCCCCATGTTCCTTGTGCTGCATTCCCACACACTGACAGTACTGAACTCACACAGTCCTTGTGCTTTCATGACCCACACACTGACAGTACTGAACCTCCACCACCAGTCCTTGTGCTGCATGACCCACACACTGACAGTACTGAACCTCCACCACCAGTCCTTGTGCTGCATGACCCACACACTGACAGTACTGAACCTTCACCACCAGTCCTTGTACTGCATGACCCACACCCTGACAATACTGAACCTTCACCACCAGTCCTTGTGCTGCATGACCCACACACTGACAGTACTGAACCTCCACCACCAGTCCTTGTGCTGCATGACCCACACACTGACAGTGCTGAACCTCCACCACCAGTCCTTGTGCTGCATGACCCACACACTGACAGTGCTGACCTCACCACCACCAGTCCCTTGTGCTGCATGACCCACACACTGACAGTGCTGAACCTTCACCACCAGTCCTTGTACTGCATGACCCACACACTGACAATACTGAACCTCCACCACCAGTCCTTGTGCTGCATGACCCACACACTGACAGTACTGAACCTCCACAACCAGTCCTTGTGCTGCATGACCCACACACTGACAGTACTGAACCTCCACCACCAGTCCTTGTGCTGCATGACCCACACACTGACAGTAATGAACCTTCACCACCAGTCCTTGTGCTGCATGACCACACACTGACAGTACTGAACCTCCACCACCAGTCCTTGTGCTGCATGACCCACACACTGACAGTACTGAACCTCCACCACCAGTCCTTGTGCTGCATGACCCACACACTGACAGTACTGAACCTTCACCACCAGTCCTTGTGCTGCATGACCCACACTGACAGTACTGAACCTCCACCACCAGTCCTTGTGCTGCATGACCCACACACTGACAGTACTGAACCTCCACCAACCAGTTCCTTGTGCTGCATGACCCAACACTGACAGTCTGAACCTCACCACCAGTCCTTGTGCTGCATGACCCACACACTGACAGTACTGAACCTCACCACCATCCTTGTGCTGCATGAACCCACACACTGACAGTATTGAACCTTCACCACCAGTCCTTGTGCTGCATGACCCACACACTGACAGTACTGAACCTCCACACCAGTCCTTGTGCTGCATGACCCACACACTGACAGTACTGAACCTTCACACCAGTCCTTGTGCTTGCATGACCCACACACTGACAGTACTGAACCTCCACCACCAGTCCTTGTGCTGCATGACCCACTCATGACAGTAACTGAACCTTCACACCATTCCTTGTGCTGCTGACCCACACTGACAGTACTGAACCTTCCACAGTCTTGTCTGCATGACCCACACACTGACAGTACTGAACCTCCACCACCAGTCCTTGTGCTGCATGACCCCCACACTGACAGTACTGAACCTCCACACAGTCCTTGTGCTGCATGACCCACACACTGACAGTACTGAACCTCCACAAACCCGTCCTTGTGCTGCAATGACCCACACACTGACAGTACTGAACCTCCACCCAACCAGTTCTTGTGCTGCATGACCCACACACTGACAGTACTGAACCTTCACAAGTCCTTGTGCTGCATGACCCACACACTGACAGTACTGAAACCTTCACCACCAGTCCTTGTGCTGCATGAACCCACACACTGACAGTACTGAAACCTTCGCCACCAGTCCTTGTGCTGCATGACCCACACATGACAGTACTGAACCTCCACCACCAGTCCTTGTGCTGATGACCCACACACGACAGTACTGAACCTCCACCACCAGTCCCTTTTGCTGCATGACCCAC